CTGGAATGAACTACCCCCCGAGATCCGGATGATTCCGGATCTCCTTACTTTCCGCCGCGCCCTCAAGACATGGTTTTTCCAGCAAGCGGGCCTGACCTAGGGAGGATTTTAGGTAGGGATAATTTTAAAAGTATTTTAATCGGAAACACAGCTGGTAATATTTGGTTTTAATTCGGCTTTTATCGGGGTTTATTTATTTATTTATTTTTTGTATTTTTGTATTTTGTATTTTTTGTATTTTGTGTATATTATTTGTTTTTAATATGCTGTGAACCGCCCTGAGTCCTATGGGAGAAGGGCGGTATACAAATTAAAATAATAATAATAATAATAAAATAATAGATTGCAAGGACCCACCTCAATTTTACATCTTAAGAAGACAGAACTCTTGGAATGTCTCTTCCAGCAGGAATCTTTATTAAGAGAAACTGATTGCAGGCATGCTAGACAGGATCTGGGGAATCCTCTCCCACCATTCAATGTTTTAAAGTGTTCCCAAGCAGCCCCCACCCCACGGTTCTTCCGGGCGATTCAATCCGTCAGTCCGCTCCGTCCGCACGATCACTCATTCTCTCTTTTTCCAGATTCCAGGTGTTGCATTTCCCCCCCCTTTTTTCCCCTCACTGCCGGCAAAGGGGAGAACTTCAGAGGGAGTAGGATGAAAGGCGATGGCCGCACTGTTATGGTTAGTCCTCTCGAAGAGAATAAACAACCGGTCACTTTGTAGTTAATGAAGTGAGAGTCATAAAACCCCCATGCTTACCCTCCTCCCCTTCCGCAGTATGACAGAATCCAGAAGAGAGTAAGAATTGGTTTTATATCAGAGTAGGTAGATAGAAATGAAATATAATTGGATTCTGACATTGCTGAAGCCATGATCCCGAACTGTACTCATTCATTCAACAATTGCTTTTTAATTATTGTTATATTTTGAGGGGGCATATTTCTTGATCTTCCAAGAAGCTAAATCAATTGGGGGGGAGCTAGATTCGCTTAATGACCGTGTGATTTGATTAACAACCACATGATTCGTTTAACAACCATGGAAGGAAAAAAAAATCGTAAAATTTAAGTGACTCGGTTACAGCATCACTTAATGATGGAAGCTCCGGTCTCAACTGTGATCATAAATGGAGGGCTATCTGTAGCCCACCCCTGGGGCTCTTTGCCCTGTTAGGCAGAGAACAGAAGGTCCAGCTGACGAGTCCTTAGGAGAGCAGTCAGTGCCTCAAAGCCCTGCTCTGTCCTTTCAAGACCAGCAGGATAGAGAGTATTTGGAAGGGCCTAAAGGAAAGCTTCAGTCGATGCTCTTCCAGAACCAAGGAGATGTTAGGATCAGGTCTTTCGAGGAGGTCACACCTGCAAAAAGACAGGGATGCTGTCAGTTGAGTCTTTGGGAAAAAGCTGCCCACTGAGACACCCTCTTTCCACTTACACAACCGCCTCGTGGACCGGGAAGCCCATTTGGAGCCAGGTGTCAACTGTGCTGCCGTGGGACTCGTAAAGTCGGATGACCAAGGCGTCTGGCCTGTCCTCAGCCTGGGGAAAAAGACCCCAAGACAGATCCCCTGGTCAGCTCAATCCTGTTCTTTCCTTCCTCCTGTCCTGCTCTTGTAAGAGGCCGCAAGGGACAGAGAAAGGTGGTACCCGACGACTTGAAACTCAGAGAATCTTCACCGAGAACCCAAAATTCACTCAAATTTTGTTCATCGAAAGCAGGGGAAGAAAAGACTGGCAAGCCACAACTCAGCTAAGCTGGCTTCCACATTGAACATAAAGCTCACTAAGTCCCATTAGTTTTGTGATAAATGTTAATCGTGTGTGGGAATGAACTTGGGAGACAAGAGGAAGAGCCACAGACTAGACCAGTGGTGGCGAACCTATGGCGTGGGTGCCAAAGGCAGCACTCAGAGCCCTCTCTGTGGGCACGCGCACCATCGCCCCAGTCCTAGGCCTTCAGCTGAGTTTTATAAAACTTTTTCGCCTTAGGGCTCCGCCGCCATGTGCAAAAAAAAAAAAAAAGGTTCAATCAGTCAATTTCAACTTCTTGCGGGGAAAAAAAAGATCTTGCAAAGTTGGAATTGATTGATTGAACTTTTTAGTCCCACCCAGTCTGCTGTTACTACCGGAGCCATGCCCAGCCCACGCCCAGCCATGCCCATGCCCACGCCCAGCCAATTGGCTACACCCACCTGGCACCCGACCATGCATAAGTGGGTTTTGGGTTGCAGTTTGGGCACTCGGTCTCTAAAAGGTTCGCCATCGCTGGACTAGACTATGTGTCAGAACAGCAGCAGCTGAACTCCAGAAGGAATGGGGAGGGGGGCTTGCAAATGTCTCAGAAGGGGACCTTCCTCCATTGTTTGGATTGAAAAAGCAAGAGGGGAGAAATGNCTCCGAGCATCTCTGTCCGTCTCTGCAGGCCAGCAAGGGAACGAAGAACT